CTGGTCAAAGMGMMCCCTGGTCAAAGTGYMCKCTGGTCAAAGTGGMCKCTGGTCKAAYTGGTCKCTYGTCAAAMGGTGCCCTGGTCAAAGMGMMCCCTGGTCAAAGTGYMCCCTGGTCAAAGTGYMCKCTGGTCAAAGTGGMCKCTYGTCAAAGTGYTCCCTGGTCAAKGGGTGCCCTGGWCAAAGTGGTCCCTGGTCAAAGTGATCCCTGGTCAAGTGGGCCCTGGTRAAAGTGATCCCTGGTCAAAGGGGGCCCTGGACAAAGTGGTCCCTGGTCAAATGGTCCCTGGTGAAGTGGGCTCTGGTCAAAAAAAGGTTGGGCACCACTGCTGTAGCACTTCCTTCCATGGGTCTGAAATTGCAAGCTTCCAGCAGGATCAGGTCACAGAACCAAATGGGTTTGGAGATGGAAACTGGACTCCAGCAACATCTGGAAGTTCACTATGACATACTGATAATCCTCCACCCTTTAGGCAATGGTAACCTTTTGAATGATTGTTATTCTTGTTGATTGATCTAAATTGTATTTGATTGTACCCCACCCTGACACCCTTGGATATAAAGAAACGAACTCCATTATTTTCCTCCCATGACTTACCGTTATACGGAGGTCCGCTGTCGACGCTGCCACCATATCCTTTGGCATTACAGAAGGGAGGGGCCCACCCTGAGTTGCAGTGGCAATTCTTATTGCTGTTGCACACCTGTTTTAAAGAAGATTGTTTTGATGTAAAAAGAAGGAATAGTCGGAGAGAAAACTTAGTTGGGTGGGGGAGCAACACAGAAGACCCCACTTTCAATCCCAAGCATCTCGATGAAGACAAGGATCAAGTCCTAAGGGTTCCTGTTTACTATCACTAAATTATCATTCAAAGAAATCATATAGATTATTTTGTTTCACTTACCCCTTGGCCATTGCATTGATTGCTTATGTCACAGTCATAGCCCAGAACTGCTACGTCAACACACTGATAGTGCTTACATATCTGCAATAAAAAGAACCTTAAATATAAACTTTGAAAGACCAAAGTGGTCAAAAATAGACATACCTTAATTTTTAATGTATACTAGCTTGGGTACCAGGTGCTGCCTGGGTTATTTGAAAAAGTCTGTTTTCTAATTGTCCAAAATGCATAAGGTTGTGAGTGAACTACAACTCCCATCATGCCAGGTTAACCCTGAGAAATTCCATCAGTACTTAAAGTTTGTGAAACTGAGCAAGTTTGCTCTGGATGCATCAGCGGTGGGGTTCAGTGTGCTCTCTGGCTGCAGGGTGAACTACAACTCCCACTATGGTGAGTCAGTCCCCTCAAACCCCTCCAGTAGGTTGAGTTAGTCATGGGGGTTCTGTGTGCCAAGTTGGGTCCAGGTCCTTACTTACTTACTTAGGCAATCCCCCGTAGTCCAAGGATGATCGTCCTCCAAGTGCAGTGTCCTGGCGGTGGGTCCATAAGTGACCATGGAGCCCTATTCTTGACCTGCAACTTCTCCTGCAGTGAGAGCATCGCCTTCCAGGTGGAAGGCAGTCCCGGTCAGGGTTGGCTTGACGTGCCTTCCTCTTGGCATGTTACTCTCTTTCACCCTCCATTCGTGCCTCTTCAAATTCTACAGCACTGCTGGTCATAGCTCACCTCCAACTGGAGCGCTCAAGGGCCAGGGCTTCCCAGTTCTCAGTGTCTATGGCAGAGTTTTTAAGGTTGGCTTTGAGCCTGTCTTTCAATCTCTTTTCCTGCCCACCAGCATTCCATTTTCCGTTTTTGAGTTCAGAGTAGAGCAACTGCTTTGGGAGACGGTGGTCAGGCATCCGGACAACGTGGCCGGTCCAGCAGAGTTGATGGCGGGGGACCATCACTTCAATGCTGGTGGTCTTTGCTTCTTCCAGCATGCTGACGTTTGTCCGCTTGTCTTCCCCAGAGATTTGCAGGGTTTTCCGGATGCAGCGCTGATGGAATCATTCCAGAAGTTGCATGTGACATCTGTAGACTGTCCATGTCTCGTAGGCGTATAGCAGGGTTGGGAGGACAATAGCTTTATAAACAAGCACCTTAGTATCCCTATGGATGTCCCGGTCCTCAAACACTCTCTGCTTTATTCGGAAAAATGCTGCACTCACAGAGCTCAGATCCATCATTGTCCAGGTCCATCATTGGTGCCATTACATGAATGCTTGTGAACATCACTTTTGCAAAGGATTGACTTCTAACGAGGTCATGCCTTTCCTTGACTGGTGGTTTTCAGAAGGTAGTCTCAAGATCTTCACATTTGCCAAAAGGATATGACATCATTTTTCCTTTTCCAAAAGGTCATGAAAGCCATTTTTCCAAAAAGACAACAGAAAACAAACCTGCTCCCTCTTCCTTATGGCATCCTTTCAGATATTCCCTCTCAACCTTCTCTTCTACAGGCTAAAAAGACCCAGATCTTTCAGAGAAATTCATGGTCTCCAGACCTTTGATCATTTTAGTTGCCCTTCTCCTCTGGACGCCTTCCAGCTTGTCAATATTTCTCTTAAATTGTGGTGCCCAGAATTTGACAGTATTCCAGGTGAAGAGGTCTCACCAAAGCCAAATAGAGAGGCACCATGACTTCCCTTCATCTAGATTAGGACTTGAGCTAGACTAAGACGTGGAACAATGGGTTCAAACTACAGGAAAGGAAGGAGATTCCACCTGAACATTAGGAAGAACTTCCTGACTGTGAGAGCTGTTCAGCAGTGGAACTCTCTGCCCCAGAGTGTGGTAGAGGCTTCTTCTTTGGAGGCTTTTAAACAGAGGCTGGATGGCCATCTGTCAGGGGTGATTTGAATGGATTCGTTTCAATCTGTGCAGCTCAAGGACGTGGACAAGGTTCTTGGAGAGGCGAGAGCGACCACGTGCATCCTAGACCCCTGCCCATCCTGGCTGGTAAAGGAAGCCAGAGTGGGTAAAGACTTTGCATTTTCCTCTATTTCGTAACCACTTTTCATCAATAAAAAGGCATTGTTTTTTCCCACAGTCAAGTGTGGTGGATTGTTATCTTATGCTCTCGTTCCCTGCTCTGGGTTGCAACACACGCAATGGTCTAGGTGCGGTGGGGTGGCCTTCCCGAGCTTACCTTCCCAGGTGCGCATTTGGTGCCTTCGTTCACCATCCCCGGATCAGGGACGTCCGAGCCAAGCTGGAAGTCCACTCCCCAGCAAGTGCTGCCTTTGATCGGAGACTGGATGAACGCAGGTTCGATGCCAAACACCGGAAGCGTTTTCACATTCTCACATTGCAGCTTTCCACACATAGAGTTCCTGCAAGGTTTTTAAAAAATAAATTTAGTTCCTAAGGGAACTAAATCACAACTCCCAGCAAGTAATTCCACATTAAAGGCAAACAGGATATGCGGACGACACTTACTGCAACCACAAAAGCCTGAAAGCCAACTAAATAAAATGCGCATTGGCTGGAAAATGTCTGCATCTCAATGCATTTTCTCCCTCTATCCCAACACATATTAAATGACCCTTAGCTCTGCACCTCTGTGCAACTTACGAGCTCGAGCACTTCTTGTAGTCATAGTTGTGATAGCCGCAGTTTCCAAATCTGTCTCCTTTGGAATTCACAGCAGAAAAGCAAATCTCCGGAGCAGCTTTTGCCTCTGGAAAATACAGATTTGGGAAACCAAGTCAATGATAATGAATGCATATATAGTAAAGATAAAGATTTCCCCTGACGTTAAGTCTAGTCGTGACGTTAAGTCTAGTCCGGGACTGTGGTGCTCATCTCCATTTCTAAGCCAAAGAGCTGGCATTGTCCATAGACACCTCCAAGGTCATGTGGCCAGCATGACTGCATGGAGCACCATTACCTTTCTGCAGAAGCAGTACCTATTGATCTACTCACATTGCCATGTTGTTTGGTATAAGCTGGGGCTGACAGCAGAAGCTCATGCTGCTCCCTGGATTCGAACCTGCAGTCTTTTGGTCAACAAGTGTTGCAAAAGTACCGCTCCTCTAGGAAGACGGAAGGTTCAGACCCAATATTATTACTATTCAGTCCTAATGTCACACTGCGCAAATAAATCGAATATTCCTACCTTATTATTATTATTATTATTATTACATTTACACTACTTTCATAGAATCCTAGAATCAAAGAGTTGGAAGAGACCCCATGGGCCATCCAGTCCAACCCCCTGCCAAGAAGCAGGAATATTGCATTCAAATCACCCCTGACAGATGGCCATCCAGCCTCTGTTTAAAAGCTTCCAGAGAAGGAGCCTCCACCACACTCCGGGGCAGAAAGTTCCACTGCTGAACGGCTTTCACAGTTAGGAAGGTCTTCCTAATGTTCAGATGGAATCTCCTTTCTTGTAGTTTGAAGCCATTGTTCCGCGTCCTAGTCTCCAAGGAAGCAGAAAACAAGCTTGCTCCCTCCTCCCTGTGGCTTCCTCTCACATATTTATACATGGCTCTCATCATATCTCCTCTCAGCCTTCTCTTCTTCAGGCTAAACATGCCCAGCTCCTTAAGCCGCTCCTCATAGGGCTTGTTCTCCAGACCATTGATCCTTTGAGTCGCCCTCCTCTGGAACCATTCCAGCTTAGAGTTAATATCTCTCTTCAATTGTGGTGCCCAGAATTGGACACATATTCCAGGTGTGGTCTAACCAAGGCAGAATAGAGGGGTAGCATGACTTCCCTAGATCTAGACACTATGCTCCTATTGATGCAGGCCAAAATCCCATTGGCTTTTTTTTTTGCCGCCACATCACATTGTTGGCTCATGTTTAACTTGTTGTCCACGAGGACTCCAAGATCTTTTTCACACGTACTGCTCTCGAGCCAGGCATTGTCCCCCATTCTGTATCTTTGCATTTCGTTTTTCCTGCCAAAGTGGAGTATCTTGCATTTGTCACTGTTGAACTTCATTTTGTTAGTTTTGGCCCATCTCTCTAATCTGTCAAGATCGTTTTGAATCCTTCTCCTGTCCTCTGGAGTATTGGCTATCCCTCCCAATTTGGTGTCATCTGCAAACTTGATGATCCTGCCTTCTAGCCCTTCATCTAAGTCATTAATAAAGATGTTGAACAGGACCGGGCCCAGGACAGAACCCTGCGGCACTCCACTTGTCACTTCTTTCCAAGATTGCTGTTACATTTATTATCTTACTCTATTATTATTATTACATTTCCATTATTTTACTCTATTATTATTATTATTATTATTATTATTATTATTATTATTATTACACTGGCTGTATTCTCTCTAGAAATCTCTACATTCTTGAAAAGCAGTAACTTAAAGCCAAAACGCCTGGGCTGTTTGGGCTCTTTGTTGCCCAAACCAGGATATCTATAATGTAAAGCTGTCCCTCTTACTTGGGCCAAAGATAGCCTGGCATTGCGCCTCGTAGTACTGGCACACCCCGTTGTAGCAATAGGCTTCTCCCTTTTTGCAAGGGTGGCCGTTCTGAATGGTGACGTCTTGCGGGCAGAATGCCGACGTGCCATTGCAGTATTCCGGAAGGTCACATTCGCTGGACTTCTCGCGGCATTCCGTGGCCTTGGTCATGTACTATAAATCCAAGCAGAAAGAGAATGGCCATGGTTAATGGACATGGTTGGTAGGAACCAAAGTTGTAATGCACACATCTGGAAGAAACCAAAGGGAATCTCAACTTCTTGCACAAGTTTTATAGTATAACTAATGTGTCATTTCAGGTAAGAAAAGTAGAATTCCAGATTATACACTGAAATTCTATTACATGACGCCATAGGTTGCCTCCTCCAACCCTAAGTCCTGTCTTTCTGGTATGCGCTGTGTTGTGGCTGAGATGTTCTGTGATGATGAGGATGATGGGATTCAGATTCCTGGCTCTTTTTCTATGCCTCAGATCTCTGGGCCTGCAGCTCCCACAGACAGCACAGACAGTGCAGAGCCAGACAGTGCAGTCAACATCAACACAGCGGTTCTCAGGAGAAAAGAATTTTAATGAAGGAGATAGCAAACAGGTGGGCAGGCATTTGCCTCCTTCCCACGCTGATACTGAAAGTACTGAAAGTCTTGACAGTGACCTGACCCGGCAAGCTCGTCTTGATCTCCGGGTAAGGCGGAGTTCTCGCCTGGCTGGCAGATGAGAGGCCAGCTCAATGAAAGGTCATCGCAATGATTTCATGTGATGTTTTCATGTTAGAAAGGTATTTAGGCTTCTTGCAAACCAAGGGAAAGCGTCAGTTCAACGTAGCTTATTAGCCTGAAAGCTTCATGAAATAACCTTAGCCTTGAAAGCTGCACGCTTGGGATTTCTTGCATTGTGATTCATGGGGCAATTGTTTCATTGCTTATTATTATTATTATTATTATTATTATTATTATTATTAACTTTATTTGTACCCCGCTAGCATCTCCCGCAGGACTCGATGCGGCTTACAAAGGCCAAGGCCTCAACACACAACATAACAATACAAAACCTAAGGCAAATTAAAAACAATTAAAGCAATATTAAACAACAAGCAATAAACAATACACCAAGACACAATAAAACTGGGCCGGGCCAGAGTAATGGGTACAGAATTAAAAGTGCTGATGTGACAGGTGATATGTAAGGATTATAGGGTAAGTGCAGTGTGCGGTGTGCAGCAATCTTAGTTCTAATAAAGTGCTTCCAGGACTTGTTACTGGAGATTCCTATTCTGGGAAGGCACATCGGAACAGCCAGGTCTTCGAGTTCTTTCTAAAGACTGCCAATGTAAGGTCCTGTCTAAGATCTTTGGGGAGGTTGTTCCAGAGTCGGGGGGCCACCACAGAAAAGGCCCTGTCCCGCATCCCCACCAAGCGCGCCTGCGACGTAGGCGGATTATACAGGGCATCTCCGGATGAATGAAGTGAACGTGTGGGTTCATAAACGGAGATGCGGTCACGCAGGTAGGAAGGTCCCAAACCGTTCAGGGCTTTGTAGGTAAGCACCTGCACCTTAAATTGGGCTCAGAAAATAAATGGCAGCTCCTTGAACAGGAGGGCTGACCTCCTCCTGTAAGGAGCGCCAGTTAACATCCTGGCCGCTGCCCGTTGGACCAGTTGGAATTTCCGAGCCGTTTTGAAGGGCAGCCCCACGTAGAGCACATTACAGTAGTCGAATCTACTGAAAGTACTGAAAGCCTTGATAGTGGCCTGACCCAGCAAGCTCGTCTTGATTTGCGGATCAGGCGGAGTTCTCGCCTGGCCGGCAGACGAGAGGCCAGCTCAGTGAAAGGTCATCGCAATGATTTCATGTGATGTTTTCATGTTAGAAAGGTATTTAGGCTTCTTGCAAACCAAGGGAAAGCGTCAGTTCAACGTAGCTTATTAGCCTGAAAGCTTCATGAAATAACCTTAGCCTTGAAAGCAGTACGCTTGGGATTTCTTGCATTGTGATTCATGGGGCAATTGTTTAATTGCTTGTACCTGGGACTCTGGTTTGAACTTTGCCAATAGGATTGTGTCTCCTGTTTTTACCTGAAGATCTTTGGAACTATATTCTGCATTTAACCTTAATCTTTGGAACTTTGCAATGCTTATTCTTTATTTTGACTTGGATTTCCTCCTCAATAAACTATAAAACTACAGCTCTTGTGTGGTGATGTTTGGAAGCAAGGTGAAGCTTACTCTGAGTTGCAACACGCTGCAAGGATGGAGATGATCCAAGCATGGAAACAAATAATAAAATGTATCGATATAGAATTGGATTAGCAGAATATGGGCCATAGCTGTAACTATAAAAATTAACATACAAAGTTAGAGAGAGGATAAATGAAAGAAAAATTGTTTGAAGCTACATGGAAATAATTTCTTATCTTTAGGGAAAATGACATTCATAACTTTTTTGAAAAGGAAAAATGATGCCATATTCTTTTGGCAAATTTGAATCTCCATGAACATCTGGAGAACACCTTTTGGCACGGCCTTGTTAGAAGTCAACCCTTTGAAAAAGTGATGTTCGTGTAATGGCACACAGGTAACTCAGCTGTTAAACTGATAAACCATGTCTTTGAACTGCCCGGGACAAAGACATACCATTGCACAAAAACATATATTTAGCTAGCAGAGTTTTTAAATGTTTCTTTGAAGTTGAAATTGCAGTTACCCAAAACGTATACTCCCCTTGAAACCTCTTCGTTAAAAAATATGAACATTTTCTTGCACCCTCCCTTTCCTTGTATGAACTTGTCTTACGTGACAATTGCGACAGCAGTCTCCGTAACCACACTCAGCCCCTGGGCGCAGTTTGCACGTTCCAGGTTCACAGCAAGGATCCGTTTTACATTCCTGGAAAGTTAGGAGAAAACGAATGAGACAGGAGAACAACATTATCTCTATTTATATATTCACACACACACACAATTTGGAATGGAGATTATGGTCAGACCTCCACATTTGCAGTTTTGATTTTTGTGGATTCGATTTTTGTTCCTACTTCTATTCAAGTATATACAATACTTTTTAATACTTACTTATTTACTTACTTAGGAAATCTCTCGTTGGCTGAGTAGGATAGTCTTCCAGGATCAGAATTCTTGGGAGTCTGTAGCTGGCTGTGGAGCCCTCTTCTTGACCTGCATGTTCTCCCACAGTGAGAGCCTCGGTTTCCAGGTAGAAGGCGGTCCCGGTCGGGGTTGGCTTCACGCGCCTTCCTCTTGGTACATTTATCTCTTTCACCCTCCATTCATGCCTCTTCAAATTCTACAGCACTGCTGGTCACAGCTGACCTCCAGCTGGAGCACTCAAGGGCCAGGGCTTCCCAGTTCTCAGTGTCTATGCCAGAGTTTTCAAGGTTAGCTTTGAGCCCATCTTTCAATCTCTTTTCCTGCCCACCAACATTCTGTTTTCCATTCATGAGTTCAGAGTAGAGACGGTGGTCGGGCATCCAGACAACGTGGCCGGTCCAGCAGAGTTGATGGCGGAGGACCATCGCTTCAATGCTGGTGGTCTTTGCTTCTTCCAACACACTGACGTTTGTCCGCCTGTCTTCCCAAGAGATTTGCAGGATTTTCCGGAGGCAGTGCTGATGGAATCATTCCAAGAGTTGCATGTGACGTCTGTAGACAGTCCATGTCTTGCAGGCATAGAGCAGGGTTGGGAGGACAATAGCTTTATAGACAAGCCCCTTGGTCTCCCTACGGATGTCCCGGTCCTCAAACACTCTCTGCTTCATTCGGGAAAATGCTGCACGGGCAGAGCTCTGGCGGTGTTGTATTTCAGTGTCGATGTTGACTTTGGTGGAGAGGTGGCTGCCAAGGGAGCGAAAATGGTCCACATTTTCTAATGTTACACCATTAAGCTGTATCTCTGACATTGGAGAGGGGTTGGCTGGTGACTGCTGGAAGAGCACTTTGGTTTTCTCAATGGTCAGTGACAGGCCAAGCTTCTCATATGCTTCTGCAAAGGTGTTTAGAGTTTCTTGTAGGTCTTCTTCTGAATGTGCACAGACGACGTTGTCATCAGCATACTGGAGTTCTATAACAGATGTTGTTGTGACCTTGGTTTTGGCTTTCAGTCTGCTGAGGTTGAATAGCTTGCCATCTGTCCGATAGATGATTTCCACTCCGGTGGGAAGCTTCCCATCAACAAGGTGAAGTATCATAGCGATTAAGATGGAGAATAAAGTTGGGGCAATAACACATCCCTGTTTGACTACTCAAGTATATACGGTACTTTTTAATAGTCTTATATTTAATACTATGTTAATGTTTATATGTTTTTGGTTTTAATCTATACATTGTATGATTTAGGAGCCCCCGGTAGTGCAATGGGTTCAACCCTTGTGCCAGCAGGACTGAAGACTGACAGGTCGGAGGTTCAAATCTGGGGAGAGCGGGTTGAGCTCCCTCTGTCAGCTCCAGCTCCCCATGCGGGGACATGAGAGAAGCCTCCCACAAGGATGGTCAAACATCCCCTGGGCATCGTCCTTGCAGATGCCCAATTCTTTCACACCAGAAGCGGCTTGCAGTTTACAATGATTCATGGGATAGAGTTGCCTCAGTCGGGTCAATGTTGTTGTTAAGTGCTCTTAGTTTCATGTACCAAGTTTTTCCCAAGCTCAAGATTTGCCTACGAGATTTTCCTGCTGTCTTGCTTCCCAGATTCAAGTATTTGGTTTCGTAGATTTTTATATACTTGTGGATCTTGTTATCCTTTGAAGCTTATAAAAATGTAAAGGTTTCCTCTGATATTAAGTCCCGTTGTGTCCAACTCTGCGGTTGGTGCTTATCTCCATTTCTAAGCCAAAGAGCCAGCGTTGTCCGTAGACTCCTCCACGGTTGTGTGGCCAGCATGGCTAACCTAGCTTAGACTAACTAACTAACAAAATGGCTCACTTCCCTCCAAAGTCCAAAAAGGAGGCGGGACTAGGGAACCTAATAATAATTGACAAGCAATTGTTTATTTATTTACTTACTTACTTCATTTGTATACCGCTCTCTCTCAGCCCGTAGGCAACTCAGAGCGGTTTACAACCAAACCAGTATACAAAGTGCACAACATTAGCATTTAAAACAGTAAGACAGTAACCATGGGAACTTATTTATTTGTCGTGTCGGAACAACCAGTCTAACAGAACAAAGCAAACAAACAGAAAAATACACAACTTGTGAGTTTGGTAGCTGGTTAAATGTCCTTTGACCAGTATCTGGCTACTTGGAGTGCTTCCGGTGTTGCTGCAAGAAGGTCCTCCATTGTGCGTGTGGCTCAGGTTGCATTGCAGCAGGTGGTCAGTGGTTTGCTCTTCTCCACACTCGCATGTCGAGGATTCGACTTTGTAGCCCCATTTCTGAAGGTTGGCTCTGCATCTCGTGGTGCCAGAGCGCAGTCTGTTCAATGCCTTCCAAGTCGCCCAGTCCTCTGTGTGCCCAGGAGGGAGTCTCTCATTTGGTATCAGCCATTGGTTGAGGTGCTGGGTTTGAGCCTGCCACTTTTGGACTCTCGCTTGCTGGGGTGTTCCAGCGAGGGTCTCTGTAGATCTTAGAAAACTATGACCATGGGAACTACATCAATATAACAATACATCAATACATCAATATATCAATATAACATCAATACATCCATATAACTAATCCACGTCTCATCAGTAAAGTCATAATCCGATCGCCTTGTCCATTATTCCATGTTTCAGTAATCAATCACTTAATTGCACTGCTTAATTAAACGCCTGTTCAAAGAGCCAGGTCTTCACTCTTCTCCTGAATGCCAGTAGGGAGGGGGCCGATCTAATGTCTGTGGGGATAGCGTTCCACAGCTGAGGGACCACCACAAAGAAGGCCCTGTCTCTCGTCCCCGCCAGCCATGCTTGTGAGGCTGGCGGGATCGAGAGCAGGGCCTCCCTGGACGATCTTAATGTCCTAACTGGTTCATAGGGGGTGATGCGTTCGGACAGATAGGTCGGGCCAGAACCGTTTAGGGCTTTAAAGGCTAAAGCCAGCACTTTGAATTGTGCCTGGTTGCAGATTGGCAGCCAGTGGAGCTGACGCAACAGAGGAGTGGTGTGCTCCCTGAGTGCCGCTCCTGTTAACAGCCTGGCTGCAATTGACCCAATAGCTGCAAAGTAGGGAAAGCCATCTAACTGCAAAGGCATAGAACTTTAAAATACATGCAGCAATCAACAAATAGCAAGATAAGCCGGAGCTCCTGGTGCGGCTGTCCCAGAACAAGGACATTTTGGCCCATATTTTTTTCTAGAGAACTGTTGACACAGGAGAGATCTTTTCCCTAAGCAGATGCTTCACAATGCCTCTCAAACTCCCATAACAGTCCATCCCACTGGTAGCACCCCATAGTTGTTCACCCCAGTGGTATGCCACCATCGTTACTTGCCTCTGGGGAGCCACAGTCGCACTCCTCTCCTGCGTCCACCAATTTGTTGCCACAGTAGGGGATACTATAGGTTTCCTCCGGTCTGGGGATATTGAGAAGGCAACTTCCCCCCTTGTTCAGGGTGAGCTTCTCAAAGTCTTCCTCGCTGCAGCTGCTGAAGTTCCTGGCTCCTCTGTCAACATGGCAGATTAAAAAGAATTAAGGCCACCCTAATTCCAAATGGTTTATTTTTTCAACCAGGGGTACTTCTGCACTGTAGAATTATTGCAGTTTGACACCACTTTTAATTACCACAACTCAGTGTCAGGGAATTATGGGAGTTGCTGTTTTACAAGGAATTCAGGCTTCTCCTCCAAAGAGTATTAGTGTCTCATCAAACTGCAAAGCGCATGATTCCACAGTATTGGGGTATTGAAGTTAAAGTGGTATCAAACTGCATTAAAGCTACAATGTAGACGCATCTTAGCTTTCATCAAGCAATATCTACAAAAGGCTTCTAAAGACCCTTCCAGACAGACCCTATATCCCAGGATCTGATCCCAGGTTTTCTGTTTATCTCAGATTACCTGGCAGTAGGGACTCATATAATCCAGTTTAAAGCAGAAAACCTTGGATGAGATCCTGGGATATAGGGCCTCCCTGGAAGTGCCCTAGGACCCTTCTACAATGACATATAAAATCCAGATTATATGCTTAGAACTGGATTATATGGCAGTGTAGACTAATATAATCCAGTTCAAAGCAGATAATCTGGATTTTATATGCCAGTGTAGAAGGGGCCCGTAATTGGAGCCTCTGAGGCTGGATCTACACTGATATATAATCCAGATGATCAAATCAGATAATCCACATTATCTGCTTTGAACCGGATTATATGAGTCTACACTGCCATATAATCCAGTTCAAAGCAGATAATCTGGATTTTTTTATGGCAGTGTGGAAGCGGTCTGTAATTGGAGCCTCTGAGGGTGGCTCTACACTGATATAGAATCAAGATGATCAAATCAGTTAATCCACATTATCTGTTTTGAACTGGATTATATGAGTCTACACTGCCTTATAATCCAGTTCAAAACAGATAATCTGGATTTTATATGGCAGTGTGGAAGTGGACTGTAATTGGAACCTCTGAGGCTGTATCTACACCGCCATATAATCCAGATGATCAAATCAGATAATCCACATTATCAGTTTTGAACTGGATTATATGAGTCTACACTGCCATATAATCCAGTTCAAAGCAGGTAATCTGGATTTTGTATGGCAGTGTAGATGTAGCCTGAAGACCTTTCCCATCCTGCAGCCAGCAGTTACATTCCTCCACACTTTGTGTTGGCCAAATGCAGCCCCTCAAGATATTGTTGAATTGGAGGTCCCATCACTCATGCCTAATGGTTCCATTGGATTGGGAGATGCAATCTCGTAGCCTTAAGAGAATCATGATCTTTGTCCTTCCGTCCTGTCCAGAAGCTCCCTGAACCCAAATGCAATAACTACTTACGATGCTTTTGATTTCATGATGCAGTTATCCGTCGGGCAGTGGCAGTGCCGTTCATCATCGTGGTTCATTCCCAGGTTGTGGCCGAGCTCGTGAGCCACAATGGAGGCAAACATCTGGACACTGATGGGGCCAAACTACCAAAGAAAGGAACACAGAGAAAATTAAAGGGTTGGGTTGCAGGACCTCCAGAACCTGTGGATGTTCAGTATAGACTCATAGACAATGGTGGAGTAAAATGTTGTGTTGATGAGCCAACAATGTGATGCGGTGGCAAAAAAAAGCCAATGGGATTTTGGCCTGCATCAATAGGAGTCTAGTGTCTAGAGCCAGGGAAGTCATGCTCCCCATGCTCTGTTCTGCCTTGGTCAGACCACACCTGGAATATTGTGTCCAATTCTGGGCACCACAATTCAAGAGAGATATTGACAAGCTGGAATGTGTCCAGAGGCGACTAAAATGACCAAGGGTCTGGAGAACAAGCCCTATGAGGAGCGGCTTAAAGAGCTGGGCATGTTTAGCCTACAGAAGAGAAGCTTGAGAGGAGACATGATGAGGGCATGTATAAATATGTATGAGGAAGTCATAGGGAGGAGGCAGCAAGCTTGTTTTCTGCTGCCCTGGAGACTAGGCAATGGAACAATGGCTTCAAACTACAAGAAAGGCGATTCCACCTGAACATGAGGAAGAACTTCCTGACTGTGAGAGCCGTTCAGCAGTGGAACTCTCTGCCCCGGAGTGTGGTGGAGGCTCCTTCTTTGGAAGCTTTTAAACAGAGGCTGGATGGCCATCTGTCAGGGGTGATTTAAATGCAATTTCCTGCTTCTTGGCAGGGGGTTGGACTGGATGGCCCATGAGGTCTCTTCCAACTCTTTGATACTACTGTGAGAGCCGTTCAGCAGTGGAACTCTCTGCCCCAGAGTGTGGTGGAGGCTCCTTCTTTGGAAGCTTTTAAACAGAGGCTGGATGGCCATCTGTCAGGCGTCATTTGAATGCAATATTCCTGCTTCTTGGCAGAATGGGGTTGGACTGGATGGCCCAGAGGAGATTCCATCTGAACATGAGGAAGAACTTCCTGACTGTGAGAGCTGTTCAGCAGTGGAACTCTCTGACCTGGAGTGTGGTGGAGGCTCCTTCTTTGGAAGCTTTTAAACAGAGGCTGGATGGCCATCTGTCAGGGGTGATTTGAATGCAATATTCCTGCTTCTTGGCAGAATGGGGTTGGACTGGATGGCCCAGGAGGTCTCTTCCAACTCTAGGATTCTATGTGAGAGCCGTTCAGCAGTGGAACTCTCTGCCCCGGAGTGTGGTGGAGGCTCCTTCTTTGGAAGCTTTTGAAACAGAGGCTGGATGGCCATCTGTCAGGGGTGCTTTGAATGCAATATTCCTGCTTCTGGGCAGAATGGGGTTGGACTGGATGGCCCATGAGGTCTCTTCCAACTCTAAGATTCTATGATTCTATGATTCTAAGTGAGGGAGGACAGGCACTGAACTGCCCCGGAGTGTGGTGGAAGTTTTTAAACAGAGGCTGGATGGCCATCTATCAGGGTGATTTGAATGCAATATTCCTGCTTCTTGGCAGAATGGGGTTGGACTGGATGGCCCATGAGGTCTCTTCCAACATGAGGAAGAACTTCCTGACTGTGAGAGCCGTTCAGCAGTGGAACTCTCTGCCCCGGAGTGTGGTGGAGGTTCCTTCTTTGGAAGCTTTTAAACAGAGGCTGGATGGCCATCTGTCAGGGGTGATTTTAATGCAATATTCCTGCTTCTTGGCAGAATGGGGTTTGACTGGATGGCCCATGAGGTCTCTTCCAACTCTTTGATTCTATGATTCTAGGATTCTATGATTCTATGTTTTGTTTTGCACTTGTTGCATTTTGCATCTCACACCTTGAGGGTTTTGTGACCCACCTCAAATTTCTCTGGGAGATGGTGGTGGGATATAAATAAAAGATCCAGAGCTGTTCCAATACATTGCGATGTCTGGGTGCTAAATTCGTAAATATGGTAATTACTACATAACGTTACCATGTATTGAATTGCTTTTTCTGTCAAATTTGTTGTAAAAGATGGGGTTGAACATCACAACCTGGCATGCATAATTCTGAACTTTGCTCAAAGGCATGATATCTTACCACGTTAATCCCTCCGGCGTTGCTCTTGGAACAAATCGTTCCCACGTAGGCCATTCCTGCAACGTCGCCAAATCCTTTTGTCCTAAATTAAATACAAAATAGTCCTAATTGTGGGTGTCTAATTAATCATTGGCAGGAAGCACACGTTGATTCTCTGTCTTAAACTATTGCAAGCAAAGAGAAGCAAGTTCTGTCATTTTGAAGACTAGAGAAAAGTAGAAGTTGGTTCTCCTTGTCAAAAAGCAACAGGGCTTTTGCTTTCTCTCTTCCAAATAAAATATATTAAAGAGGAAGACCCCAGCAACGAAGAGCAGGAAAACAGGTGTAAAACACCCACAAAGTGAGTTTCAAAATAAAAATAACCTAGGCAAGAAAATTTTGAGAACTACCATGTCAGGCTACACAGAGAAGACATTGAAATCTACATGAAGCCTGTGGACAATATCAACAGGAAGGAGGAAACCATGAACATAAACGCAATCTGGCTACCAGTATTTAAAAAAAACCCTCTAAAATCAGGACAGTAAAGAAAGAACATCCGTACAAACTTCAAACTCTCAAACTTCCGTCCAGTGGCCCTGATTTCTCCTCATGCCAGGAAGGGAATGCTCAAGATCCTGCAAGGAAGAAGACTCCAGCAAGACATGGAGCGAGAGTTGCCAGACGTTCAAGCTGGGTTTAGAAAAGGCAGAGGAACGAGAGACCAGATTGCCAATATCCGAATGCTGGATAATGGAGAAAGGCAGGGAGTTTCAGAAAAACATCTATTTCTGCTTCATTGACTATTCTAAAGCCTTTGACTGTGAGGATCATCATAAATGGTGGCAAGTCCTTGGTGGGATGGGCATCCCAAGCCCCCTCCCTCTCTCCTGAGGAATCTGTACAAGGACCAAGGAGCAACAGTCAGAACTGACCACGGAACAGGAGACGGGTTCACGATTGGGAAAGGCGTCCGGCAAGGCTGCATCCTCTCACCCAACCTTTTTAACTTGTATGCAGAACACATCATGCCATGTGCGGGGCTGGATGAATGTAAAGCTGGGGTGAAAATGGCTGGAAGAAACATTAACAACCTCAGATATGCAGACGACACCACTCTGATGGCCAAAAACGAGGAGGAGCTGAGGAGCCTTCTCATCAAGGTGAAAGAAGAAAGCGCAAAAGCCGGGTTGCAGCTAAACATAAAAAAAACCAAGATTATGGCAACAAGAATGATTGACAACTGGAAAATAGAGGGAGAAAATGTGGAGGCCGTGACAGACTTTGTATTTCTAGGCGCAAGATTACTGCAGAATGCAGACTGCAGCCAGGAAATCAGAAGACGCTTACTTCTTGGGAGGAGAGCAATGTCCAATCTCGATAAAATAGTAAAGAGTAGAGACATCACACTGGCAACAAAGATCCGCATAGTCAAAGCCATGGTATTCCCTGTAGTCACCTATGGATGTGAGAGCTGGACCTTAGGGAAGGCTGAGCGAAGGAAGATCGATGCTTTTGAGCTGTGGTGTTGGAGGAAAGTTCTGAGAGTGCCTTGGACTGCGAGAAGATCCAACCAGTCCATCCTCCAGGAAATAAAGCCCGGCTGCTCACTGGAGGGAAGGATACTAGAGACAAAGTTGAAGTACTTTGGCCACATCATGAGGAGACACCAAGCCTAGAAAAGACAATTATGCTGGGGAAAGTGGAAGGCAAAAGGAAGAGGGGCCGACCAAGGGTAAGATGGATGGATGGCATCCTTGAAGTGACTGGACTGACCTTGAAGGAGCTGGGGGTGGTGACGGCCGACAGGGAGCTCTGGCGTGGGCTGGTCCATGAGGTCACAAAGAGTCGAATGAACAACAACAAAGAAAGAACAACAGTCACAAAACAGGGGAATTCCAGAGAAGAAACAATCAGGGTCAGCTAATCATCTATCAACAAAGAATTCCCCCTGGCAGGAAGCAGTCAAGCCTTGAAGCTGCAAGCTATTCAATGCTAATCAAGGTGGCCAACTGCAACATTTACACTTGGCTCCAACAGGCAAGAGTTCTTTCTCCCACCCTAGACATCATTCCACAGATATATAAACCTCACTTGCCTCGTTTCCAACAGACCACACAACCTCTGAGGATGCCTGCCATAGATGTGGGTGAAACGTCAGGAGAGAATACTTCTGGAACATGGCCAGACAGCCTGGAAAACCCACAGCAACGCAAATGAAAAACGTGGATTGCTATAGAAATTAGCCTGGTATTCCAATACCGTTACGTGTTAGTATGATTTATTATGAGAGTCCCAGGCTCCAAGTGTTTTTATTTATTTGTGCTTTTGCTGTTGTCTTTAAAAATGCAAAATTATTCTCGAGTTTGGAGGGACAGCTACAAAACTACAACTCCTTGAACTGCCATAGCATTGAGCCATGGCAGTTCAAGAGAGATCAAACTGCATGTAGTCTACGGAGTCAACGGGATGGTTGTATGAATACAACAACATAGTCCTTTTATGGGGAATGTATGGAAAAGGAAGAGGACCTTACATTACAAGCTGTGCACTGTCATGCCGCCTGCGCAAGATGAGATCCCGCTCTCGCCATTGCACGAAGTTGGCAAGAACGTCGGCGGCACCTCCTTCGAGGCTGATCTTGTTCTGAAAAGTCCAGATCTCCAAGCCGACCAACACAATGCGGATGTTCAGCGTAGCATACATCTGAGGAGACAGAGAGACGCAAGCAATACAGGATAGAATGAGCCACTGTTGGGAAAATACTCCTTCAATCAGCACTGCCTTCACACCCCAACCCCAATTTGCAATGGGCACAGCCAGAGGCGGCCCTAGGTGATTTTCAACGGTAAGCAAACAGTATTTTGCCCCCCCCCCCAACCAATCAGTGACATATATTTTCTGTTTGTCGTGGGAGTTCTGTGTGCCATATTTGGTTCAATTCCATCATTGGTGGAGTTCAGAATGCTCCTTGATTGTAGGAGAACTATACATCCCAGTAACTACAACTCACAAGTGACAATATTATTATTATTTTCGAGTGATGATCACTCCTTGGGTTAGTAGGTGTCCTGTGGCCAAATTTGGCAGCAATTTGTCCAGTGGTTTTTGAGTTATGTTAATCCCACAAACGAACTTTACATTTTGATTGTAGGAGAACTATACATCCCAGTAACTACCACTCGAATATGTCAAGGTCTATTTTCCCCCAAGAGCGCCCCTGGGCATAATCAACTATACTTCAAAGGCTTACTTTGCGTATGGGTTGAGCCGCCCCTGGGCACAGCTCCCCTAAGGGATTGATGCCCACCTCGAAAGCAATTAATTCAATAAGTGTCCCCCATAAGTCTAAAATATCTCGCAAAGGCACTCCTCTGAAGCTTCACTTACGCCATCCAGGTAGTTGGCCAAATGCATCATTTCTTCTCTGATGGCAGTTTTGTTCTCACCTAACAGCATGTACTACGAGAGAAGGAATATTTTAGAGATGGAAAGAAAAAAGTTTCTGTTTTTTAGATACATGCCACATTTTGTACTTGCATTTCAAAGCAGGGTAAAAACAACATGTCCAAGAAGATAAGCTTTTTACATTTATCACAACTGCTGCCAGAATTGTCTTTGCAAGAGAATGGAAGCAAGAATTAAATCCAGCGATAGAAGAGTGGATAGGAAAAATTGGGAAATTATGGACATGGATGAATTGACTTTGTTGTTGTTCATTCGTTCCGTCGTCTCCGACTCTTCGTGACCTCATGGACCAGCCCACGCCAGAGCTCCCTGTCGGCCGTCACCACCCCCAGCTCCTTCAAGGTCAGTCCGGTCACTTCAAGGATGCCATCCATCCATCTTGCCCTTGGTCGGCCCCTCTTCCTTTTGCCTTCCACTTTCCCCAGCATCATTCCCTTCTCTAGGCTTTGCTGTCTCCTCATGATGTGGCCAAAGGACTTCAACTTTGTCTCTAGTATCCTTCCCTCGAGTGAGCAGTCGGGCTTTATTTCCTGGAGGATGGACTGGTTGGATCTTCTCGCAGTCCAAGGCACGCTCAGCACTTTCCTCCAACACCACAGCTCAAAAGCATCGATCTTCCTTCGTTCAGCCTTCCTTAAGGTCCAACTCCCAAGGTCAAGGTCAATGCCCACCAAACCCTTCTAGTGTTTTACGTTGGTCATGGGAGTCCTGTGTGCCACATTTGATTCAATTCCATCATTGGTGGAGTTCAGAATGCTCCTTGATTGTAGGTGAACTATAAATCCCAGCAACTACAGCTCACAAGTGACAATATTATTATTTTTTAAAGTGATGGTCACTTCTTGGGTTAGTTTGGCGGCAATTCATCCAATGGTTTCGGAGTTATGTTAATCCCACAAACGAACATTACATTTTTATTTATATAGATAAATTAAATACTAAATTATTTTTCTAATAGCTATATTTTTACTACGTTCAAGAGGCAGAGAAATTCCTGCTTTCATCATCAGCCTTTCCTTCCTTCCCCCCTTTTTCTTTCTTCTGTCTCTTTTCTTCCTTCTCTCTTTCCTTCTCTTTCTCTACATCTTCCCCCCTTCCTTCGCTCCCTTTCCTTCTTCTTTCCCTTTTTCTTTCCTTCTCCCTTTTCCTTCTCTACTTTCCTTCCTTTTTCTTTCCCTCCTTTTCTCTCCTTTTTCCTTCTCTACCTCTTTCCTTCCATCCTTCTCTCTTTGCTTCCATGCTTCCTTCTCCTTCCTTCTTCTTTCCCTCCCTCTTTCTCTCCTTTCTTCCTTCTCTCTTTCTTCCCTCTTCTTTTTCTTTCCATTTTTCTTTCTTTCTTTCCTCCTTCCTTCCTTCCTTCCTTCCTTCCTTCCTTCCTTCCCTCCCCCTCTTCCTTCTCTTTCCTTCCTTCTTCTCCTCTTTCTCTCCTTTCTTCTCTCTTTCTTCCCTCTTTCTTCTCCCTTTCCTTCTTTCTTTCCCTCCCTCTCTCTCCTTTCTTCCTTCTCTCTTCTTCCTTCTTCCTTCTCTCTTTTCTTCCATGCTTCCTTCTACCTTTCCTTCCTTCTTTCCCTCCTCTTTCCTCCTTCCTTCTCTCTTTGCTTCCATGCTTCCTCTCCTTTTCCTTCTTTCTTTCCCTCCTCTTCTCTCCTTCCTTCCTTCTCTACTCTTTCCTTCCTTCCTTTCCTTCCTTCTTCCTTCCTTCCTTCCTTCCTTCTTTCCTCCCTTTCTCTCCTTTCTTCCTCTCTCTTTGCTTCCATGCTTCCTTCTCCCTTCCTTCTTTTTTTCCCTCCCTCTTTTCCTTCTTCTCTTCTCTTCTTCTCCTTCTCTTTTTTCTTCTTTCCCTTCCTCTTCTTCCTCCTCTTCTTCTCTTCCTTCTTCTCTTTGCTTCCATGCTTCCTTCTCCCTTTCCTTCTTTCTTTCCCTCCCTCTTTCTCTCCTTTCTTCCTTCTCTAACTCTTTCCTTCCTTCCTTCCTTCTCTCTTTTCTTCCATGCTTCCTTCTACCTTTCCTTCCTTCTTTCCCTCCCTCTTTCTCTCCTTCCTTCTCTCTTTGCTTCCATGCTTCCTTCTCCCTTTCCTTCTTTCTTTCCCTCCCCTTTTTTTCTTTCTTTCTTTTTCTCCCCTTCCTTTCCTTCTTTATCTTTCCCTCGCTCTTTCTCTCCTTTCTTCCTTCTCTACCTCTTTCCTTCTCTCTTTGTTTCCATGCTTCCTTCTACCTTTCCTTCTTTCTTTCTCTCCTCTTTCTCCTCTCCTTCTCCCTTCTTCCTTTCTCTCTTTCTTCCTCTTCCTCTCTTTCTCCTTCCCCCTCTTCCTCTCCTTCTCTTCTCTCTTCTCTTGATTCCTTCTCCCTTTCCTTCTTCTTCCCTCCCTCCTTTACTTTCTTCCTTCTCTACTCTTTCCTTCCTTCCTTCTCTCTTTTCTTCTCTTCCTTCTCTTCTTTCCTTCTTCCCTCCCTCTTTCTCTCCTTCTTCCTCTCCTTCCTTTGCTCCTCTCTTTCCCTTCCTTTCTTCTCCTCTTTCTCTCTCTTCCTTCTCTCTCTTCTCCCTTTTTTCCTTTCTTTTCTCCTTTCTTCCCTTTCCTTCTTTTTCCCTCCTCTTTCTCTCCTTCTTCCTTCCTTCCTCTTTCCTGCCATGCTTCCTTCTCCCTTTCCTCTTCTTTCCTCCTCTTTCTCTCCTTCTTCCTTCTCTTCTTCCTTCCTTCTCTCTCTTTTTCTTTCTCTTTTCCCTTTCTCTTTTCCCTCCCTCTTTCTCTCCTTTTCCCTCTCTTTGCTTCCATGCTTCCTTCTCCCTTTCCTTCTTTCTTTCCCTCCCTCTTTCTCTCCTTTCTTCCTTCTCTAACTCTTTCCTTCCTTCCTTCCTTCTCTCTTTTCTTCCATGCTTCCTTCTACCTTTCCTTCCTTCTTTCCCTCCCTCTTTCTCTCCTTTCTTCCTTCTCTCTTTGCTTCCATGCTTCCTTCTCCCTTTCCTTCTTTCTTTCCCTCCCTCTTTCTCTCCTTTCTTCTTCCTTCCTCTTCCTTCTCCTTTTCTCCTTTCCTTCTCCTCCTTCTTCTTTCCTCCCTCTTTCTCTCCTTTCTTCCTTCTCTCTTTGCTTCCATGGTTCCTTCTCCCTTTCCTTCTTTCTTTCCCTCCCTCTTTCTTCCCTTTTTTCCGTAATGTCTTTTACCTTTTTGTCATTTAGTTTTTGTGGGGCTTTTAAAGTCCCTTCTACTGTGTTTTTTTTGAGTGAAGGACATACATCGGGCTGTTAGGTGTCTTGTGTCCAAATTTGGTGTCAATTCCCCCAGTGGTTTTTGAGTTCTGTTAATCCCACAAACAAACATGACATTTTTATTTAGATAGATGATTATTACCCTTTCCTTGTCCACAACGATGAAGAGCTCCACGTATCTCGTCTGCAGGAGGAGGCCCCTTTTGTTCTGCAACGAAAACCAGAGAGAAAGGTTACAACGAACCACATCTCCTCCCTGATTCCTAAGTTCAAAACAGGATGATATCATTGTAGTCCACATTCCTCTTTGTTGAATTTCGCTTCTGGGACCGACCCACACCCAAAGGGGAGAGAGAACATTCCGACCCAAAGCCAACCCTTCTTTTTCCTGTTCATCTCCTCCTTTTGTGCAAGATCAACATTTTGGCTGGAACAGTACTTTCAAATCCGACCAAACATAACAAAGACTCCAAAGGAAGAACAGAAGTGAACGAAATGAAAAATAGTCCAGGATCATTCTTTTCCTTTATGTTCTTTGTTTAGGAGATTTATACACCCAACCTTTCCCATTTTATACAGATTCCAAGGTATGTAGCAGTAAGAAAGGAATGTCAAGTTGGTTTGTTGTAGGTTTTTTCGGGCTGTATGGCCATGGTCTAGAGGCATTCTCTCCTGACGTTTCGCCTGCACTTTGGCAAGCATCCTCAGAGGAAGTGAGGCAAAATGTCAGGAGAGGGCCATGTTCTAGAAAAGCAGTGTTTTCTCAACCTGGGGGTCTGGGACCCCTGGATGGGGGTCTCAAGAGGTTGTCAGAGGGGTCGCCAAAGATCATCTGTTAGTCATGGGGTTTCTGTGTGGGAAGTTTGGCCCAATTCTATCATTGGTGGGGTTCAGAATGCTCCTTGATTGTAGGTGAACTATAAATCCCAGTACCTACAACTCCCAAATGTCAAAGTCTATTTTCCCCAAACCCCATCAGTGTTCACATTTGGGCATATTGAGTATCCATGCCAAGATTGGTCCAGATCCATCATTGTTTGAGCCCACAGTGCTCTCAGGATGTAGGCGAACTACAACTCCCAAACTCAAGGTCAATACCCATCAAACCCTTCCAGTATTTTCTGTTGATCATGGGAGTTCTCTGTGTCAACTTTGGTTCAATCCCATTGTTGGTGGGGTTCAGAATGCTCTATGTTTAGATGTTAACTACAAATCCCAGCAAGTAAAACTCCCAAATGACAAAATCAATCCCTCCGCCAACCCCACCAGTATTCAAATTTGGCCATACTGGATATTTGTGCCAAATTTGCTCCAGTGAATGAAAATACATCCTGCAGATCATTATTTACATGGCGATTCATAATGTTAGGGTTATGTTTGGGGGTCACCACAACATGAGGAACGGTATTAAGAGGTCGCAGCATTAGGAAGGTTGAGAAACACTGCTCTAGACCATGGCCATACAGCCCGAAAAAACCTACAACAAACCAGTGATTCCGGCCATGAAAGCCTTCGACAATATCAAGTTATTACATTCAGTAGCCCTGTTTGTCAAAACTTCTGCAAGCATTTTAACATCACTACTTATTTTTCTTTAAAGCAGTGGTTCTCAACCTGGGGGTCAGGACCCCAAGGGGGGTCGCGAGGGGGTGTCAGAGGGGTAGCCAAAGACCATCAGAAAGCACAGTACTTTCTGTTGGTCATGGGCATTCTGTGTGGGAAGCTTGGCCCAATTCTATCATTGATGAGGTTCAGAATATTCTTTAATTGTAGGTGAACTATACATCCCAGCAACAACAATTCCCAAATGTCAAGGTCTATTTCCCCCAAACTCTACCAGTGTTCACATTTGGGCATATTGAGTATTTGTGCCAAGTTTGGTCCAGATACATCATTGTTTGAGACCCCAGTGCTTTCAGAAGGTAAGTGAACTACAACTCCAAAACTCAAGGTCAGTGATCACTAAACCCTTCCAGAATTTTCTCTTAGTGATGGGAGTTCCGTGTGCCAAGTTTGGTTCAATTCCATCGTTGGTGGAGTCCAGAATGCTCATTGATTGTAGGTGAGCTATAAATCCCAGCAACTACAACTCCCAAATGTCAAGGTCTATTTCCCCCAAACTCTACTAGTGTTCACATTTGGGCATATTGAGCATTTGTGCCAAGTTTGGTCCAGATCCATCATTGTTTGAGACCCCAGTGCTCTCAGAATGTAGGTGAACTACAACTCCCAAACTCAACGTCAGTGCCCACCAAACCCTTCCAGTATTTTCTGTTGGTCATGGGAGTTCTGTGTGCCAAGTTTGGTTCAATTCCATTGTTGGTGGAGTCCAGAATGCTCACTGATTGTAGGTGAACTATAAATCCCAGCAACTACAACTCCCAAATGACAAAATCAATCCCCCCCCCCCCCACAACCCCACCAGTATTCAAATTTGGGCGTATTGGGTATTTGTGCCAAATTTGGTCCAGTGAATGAAAATACATCCTGCATATCAGATATTCACATGACGATACATAACAGTTGCAAAATTACAGCTATGAAGTAGCAATGGAAATAATTTTATGGTTGGAGGTCAACACAGCATGAGGAACTGTATTAAGGGGTCACTGCATTGGAAGGTTGAGAAACACTGCTTTAAAGGTTGGTTTGCAAGTTTTCAGTCCAGAATGCTGCTGGAACATGGCCATACAGTCTGAAAAACTCACAGCAACCCAGGAATGAAGCGTCCTTTAATATTTTGGTCCAGTTTGGGAGTGATCCTGGACTCATCCTTGAGGCTGGAAACCCAGGTATCAGCGGTGGCCAGGGGAGTTTCCGCACAATTAAAACTTGTGCGCCAACTGCACCTGTATCTTGTGAGATTGGACTTGGCCATGGTAGTCCATGCTCTGGTTACATCCTGAATAGATTACTGCAGTGCACTCTACCTAGGGCTTCCCCTGAAGACTGTTTAGAAGCTCCAACTAGTCCAACGTTTGGTACGGGAACAGGATATCGAGAGCGCATAACGCCCTTGCTACGCCAGCTCTACTGGCTGCCTATTAGCTTCCGAGCACAATTCCAAGTGCTAGCGTTGCCCTATAAAGCCCTGAATGGTTCTGGCCCAGTTTACTTGCCTGAACGTATCTCCCGCTATGATCCACCTAAGACACTAAGATAATCTGGGGAGGCCCAGCTCGGATTTGTGTCTGGTGGGGAGAAGGGGCAGGGCCTTTTCTGTGGTGGCTCCTTGGCTGTGGAACTCCCTCTCAAGTGAAATTAGATCTGCTCCATCTCTCCTGACCTTTCAAAAAAAAAAGTGAAATCCTGACTATGGGATCGGGCATTTGCAGACTAGGCTGACCTGCTGGCAAAGCAACGGCTTTATTTATTTATTACTAGCTTGGGGACCCGGCGGTGCCCGGGTTAGTGTTTGTTTTGTGAAGTTTGGTAATATCAGTTTGGTAATGTGTAATGCTATTTTTTTTAATAAAAAAAACAGTCTTTCTTTTGTTTTTTAATGAATGCTCCCATTAGAAAATGCATAAGGATGTGGGTGAACTACAATTTCCAGAATTGTGGGTCAGTCATTCCCAAACCCTGCCATTACTTAAAGTTGGCCATGTTGGATCTGTGTGCCAAGTTTGGTCCAGATCCGACAGCAGCTGAGTTCAGTGATATTTAGGTAAGGGTGAACTACAACTCCCAGATTCCCAGGGCAATCACCCCCAAGCTCAGCCAGTATGCACAATTGGCCATGTTGGATCTGTGTGCCAAGTGTGTCCAGATCTGACAGCAGCTGACTTCAGTGATATCTAGGTAAGGGTGAACTACAACTCCCAGATTCCAGGGCAATCACCCCCAAGCTTAGCAAGTATGCACAATTGGCCATGTTGGATCTGTGTGCCAAGTGTGTCCAGATTCAACAGCAGCTGAGTTCAGTGATATTTAGGTAAGGGTGAACTACAACTCCCAGATTCCCAGGGCAATCAGCCCCAAGGTCAGCCAGTATGCACAATTGGCCATGTTGGATCTGTGTGCCAAGTGTGGTCCAGATCCAACAGCAGCTGAGTTCAGTGATATCTAGGTACGGGCGAACTACAACTCCCAGATTCCCAGGGCAATCACCCCCAAGCTCAGCCAGTATGCACAATTAGCCATGCTGGTTCAGTTTGCCAAGTTTGGTCCTGATCCATCGTTGCCTGAGTTCACTGTTCTCTAGATAAGGGTGAACTACAACTCTCAGGGTAATAATCACCCCTAAACTCTGCAAGTATGGACAATTGCCCCTGGTGGGTCTGTGTGCCAAGTGAGTTCCAGGTCCATCATTGGTGCAGTTCAGAGTGCTCTTAGATTGCAGGCGAACTATGCATCCCAGTCCCTACAACTCCTATAAATCATGGTGAATTCTCTCCAAACCTCTCCAGTATGTTTAGTTGCTGATCAATTCCTCTGCTGCGTGCCAAAGGAAAGGGTTGGGATGGGATAAGGGAGAAGCAGCGGGTGGGGTCATGCAAAGGAAGAGAGAAAGGAACACTGGGATGTCCTTCGAGAGCGTGACTTGCTGTCTTCTCAGCACTGCAAACAATAGCCTATTTGTGGAGGCTAGAGGCTGTCTCTGTGAACAGGCACCTGTACCACATACAGATTTTCACTTTTATTATGTGTATAGATTTATTAAAACATTTTATATCCTGATAGGGACTCAAACCGGCTAAAAACAAAGATTCAATGCTAACACTGAAAATCTAAAACATAATACACAACATTAAGTTACCAATTACAGTACACAAATTACATAAAATTACATGAAAGCCAATGTATTGTCGAAGGCTTTCATGGCCGGAATCACTGGGTTGTTGTAGGTTTTTTTCCGGCTATATGGCCATGTTCTAGAGGCATTCTCTCCTGACGTTTCGCCTGCATCTATGGCAAGCATCCTCAGAGGTAGTGAGGTCTGTTGGAAGTAGGGAAATGGGTTTATATATCTGTGGAAAGACTAGGGTGGGACAAAGGACTCTTGTCTGCTGGAGCTAGGTGGGAATGTTTCAACTGACCACTTTGATTAGCATATAATGGCCTGACAGTGCCTAGAGCAAACTTTTGTTGAGAGGTGATTAGATGTTCTTGTACATAAAAGCCGTTCGCCAGGATAAAATCGTGTCCAACTCTGTTCGTATATCCAGTCCATATATTGTGATCAGTACCATTAGTTAATTGCCGGTCTCAGACATCATTCCACAAAAGCTTTGTTTGCACAGCCAGGTTTTCACTAGCTTCCTAAAGGTCAGGAGGGAGGGGGCAGATCTAATTTCATTTGGGAGAGAATTCCATAGCCGAGGGGACACCCCAGAAAAGGCCCTGTCTCTCGTCCCCACCAGATGGCGGGACCAAGAGCAGGGCCTCTTATGGACTTGATGGACTGTTTTTAAGATGCTGATGTTATGGCTCAATGTGATGAGAGTGATGGGATTCAGATTCCTGGCTGTTTTTCTATGCCTCAGCCCGAGGCTCTCACAGACGGGGAGATTCAAGCAAGCGGTTCTCACAGGAAAGGAATGCCAGTAAGGGAGTTAGCACCCAGGTGTCTTCCCACACTGATAGTGAAGGCCTTGATCTGTAGACGAGAGGCCAGGTCGGGGAAAGGACATGGGACCACTGTGAGAGCAGGATGTTTTCATGATTAGAAAACGCTATTTAGGCTTCTCACAAAGGAAGCGAAATTGTCAGTTCAACGTAGCTTATTAGCCTGAAAGCTTCATGGAATAACCTTAGCCTGGAGCGGTACGCTGGGGACTTCTTGCATTGTGATTCTTGGGGGCAAATGTTTCCTTGCTTGTACCTGGGACTCTGGTTTGAACTTTGCCAATAGGATTGTGTCTCCTGCTTTTGCCTGAAGATCTTTGGAACTGTATTCTGCATTTAACCTTAATCTTTGGAACTTTGCAATGCTTATTCTTTAATTTGACTTGGATTTTTTCCTCAATAAACTATAAAACTACAGCTCTTGTGTGGTGGAGTTTGGAAGCAAGGTGAAGCTTACTCTGAGTTGCAACAGTTGACTTAAATTGGTGATGGATTGAATGTTTTTATACTATTTTTATATTGTTTTTATTTAAATTGTATATTTATGCTTTTTGTTGTGGGCACCATGGTGTGCCAGTTGTTAGCCGCCCTGAGTCCGTCTGCGGAAGTTGAAATAGGACAGGATATAAATGTCTGAAATAAATAAATAAATCTTAACCCCAGCTTGCCAAAGCAGAGATCTCCAGTCCAAATCCAAAGGGCTTACTCACTCTCAGGTGCGGAGTCCCGCCGCCAATGGGATGAAGCATTGCTGGGCTCTTGCAGCTGTGGCTCAAGGAACTGACCCCGCAGGATGAGGAAGGGGCCTTCACACTGCTCAGTGGGTAGACCAGGTGCCTGTCCTTATCGATGGGCTCGACTCCAAAGGTGACGTTCTCGATTTGGATCATGCCCCTACAAACAACAGAGTGCAATGCATCAAATACATGTGCTTTTCATCTCAAGAACAGACAAGCATCCCGAGCTCTGAGGATGACCTGGAAAGGAATCCCACTGGAGCACTGCAGCGCACCCAAATACCTGGGAGTCACTCTGGACCATGCTCTTACCTACA